ACCAATTGCGTTAACTCTTGAATTCACAGTTCATACTATAATTCATTTACTCCTGATTATCACGTTTAGTTTTACTTTACATATTGACATCTGGGGACTATCTTATTGGGCGGCCGTGCTCTTGATTGAGTCCGTTTGATATGATCGACCAAATCAATTCCCAAAGAGTAAAACTTTTGTCAGAAAGATTTTTTATTAAGAACAGTAAACAGTCCTCAATTAATCTATTCGATCAGCTGCACTCTTCATCTTCAGAGGAAACATCGGATGGCTAGGATCGCTTTTCCAACTTGATGATTGGTCTTACTTGTGATGTTGTAATTAGTGGCTATAACTATCAGGAATATATTGCTACACGAGAAGTACTGTTACCTATCGTTCTATGGAGTCCGTGAACCGTAGTGCATTATTCAATCATTGACAGGTATAACTATATGAGAATTATTGGAATTTCGGATTTACAGGCTGGATTCAGAAACAACACAAATAAGCCTGCTCTTCATTACGAGTTTCAAATAGGAATAGTTTGTGAAAATCAACAGCATCAGATAGATTACATTTTATAATCTGGAGACAGGTTTCACTGTACATTACTGTTTCGCTTACCACGATACTCAAGACGTTACTCATTCAGATTATGTAGTGGACAGTAAGGATACGATCGTCACTCCGATTCACAAGATAAGATCAGGACGATTTTTGGACCACAGATTTGCAGGCCCCATTTGTGTGATAGTTAAAATGCCGAAAATGCTATACGCTGATTCCATTGAAGTATTTGATACGTTCTCGCACAGTAGGCTATTAATGAAACCGGAAAACCTAGTTATCTCCGAGCCTGTGCTGTAGTGGGTCAAAGATTTTCCGGTCGGTGGTCTATAGAGAATATGGGTAAATCCCAAATGTTCTTCATGGAAATCAGCACTCAGAGATTAAGTTCCGAGTTCTCTACTTGTTAAACACTATGTGAAGAACTGTTGCCTATCATTTAGTCCACAAAGCTACACTCCAGGTCAAACTAGACGTTCCGTTGAATCTATGCAAACTGATATCGATCACCATCAATTCACCCAAATGTATTTATATGCATGTTGAACACAATAATGTAAGCGATTGCAGGATAAGGGAAGCACCACTGCCTCTGATCCTTCCTTACAATAATCTCAGTGTAATTGCATATCTGGATCTCAGAACCACGGCTCATTACTGTCAGGCCCTTACTGTGGGGTTTAAAACATTCAAAGAGGAAAAAAATATTCGGAATTTGACAATGCCTCTGTACGGAACACGTTTATTTTTGCAGTATACTGATAAGTGTTGCTAACTGAACACTATATTCGGTTCGTGAGCTCTTCTAGTAACCCTCAAACTGGAACTACACATCTACTTGAACACGAGAGAAAAGGCGCAAAAGATGCAAGAAACGCTTTACTCCGAAGGTTCATTTGTGTACAGAATATACAGGGTTTTCATGGTATGTCTCTGAGTTTCACGAAAATTCCAGAGTGCTACTAAACATTGAAGCAGTGTGGTAATCATCAAATCAGAAACTGGAAATGTGACTTTCCAATTTCTAGATGTTTCTGGCAAAACTTCTAGTGAACGCTGATTGGATAAGATGCTTCTCAGTGTTTCCACAGCCTTTCTTGGCTTTTTTTCGAGAGGTTTTCTGGATCTCCCCAACCCAGTCAAGTCGAAAGTCAAAAATAAAGGGGCTCGAAGGCAGTTAAAAAGTTATCGATATGTCGAGAAGCATTTGGTCTAAGCTGGCTGGTATTTGTAAGGGATGCGTAACACGACGTGCTCCTTTGTGATCCGGCGTAGATGCGTGGCCGAGCGCCTTCAGCTAGGTGTGTCCAGTAAAATAGTGAGATCAGCATAAATGTCGAAGACTTACAGAACTATCTATTTTGGGAGATTATCTAGCTCTACAAATTTACAAAAGTGGATGTAACTATGTTCATCACAGTATGCACAGCCTAAGTGATGCCTAGACTTAGACACTATGTTCAGATTTCAAGCTATTGTTAGCTATAATGTTTCGAGTTATTTGAAATGTATTATGAACTAGGAATCCCAGAATTAACGCAAATGAATTAAGAAGTAAGACACAAACACAAACGCATGTACTGTATTTGGAATTCGAAATAAAGCATTCAACATGTACAAAGGTATCATTATTTTATTCAAACACCACATTAGCTTTTAGCGAAAGGACTGAAGACAGCCAAGTATGAATTTTCAGGATTCTTAAACTTTTTATACATACTCCTTTTGGAGCAGTTAGATCTTTATACTATTTCCGCAGGTTGAGGTGACCTAGTGTTAGTGTATAGAATATAAAGAAATGTTTTTTGACCTCTTTTTTTCTTCGTAATAGATTAGGACAACCCAGAGGACACAGAATAAAGTCTCAAATTTCAAGGTTGAACAAAGTGCCAGTGACACATAGGTTTTCCCAATGGGTTATCAACGACTGAAACAAGCTACATTCAAGAGAAACCTAGACACTCAGCGGAGCTTGTTGGAAAATGACTAACCCAGACTTTCAGCCTTCTGTCTACAATACACAAATTTGATATATAAACTATTTACATCTACATCACATTTGGTACGAGAAATTCCTTTAGTTTTGGCAAGAGATGATGCTGAAAAAGCTGTAGCTTTATCGGAATATTCGGGTACGGTTTTTCTTATCAGCAATGAGGAAGGATCAATGAATATTTTTGATAGTTACTGAACCTATAGCCGTACTGTCTTATATGTTTCTGCGGCAGCTCAGATTGTCGAAAGAGTGGAAAACACAATAATTAGTCCGGTGTATAAGGTGGGATTCAGAGACTTAGTAACTATTGATCCGTTGGTCAAACCATTAAAGTTGTAAAACTAGTGGAAAAGATCATTCGGAAGGCTGTCATAAACTATATGAAAGGGCATAATCTTTTATTCAGGGAGCAATATGGTCTTTAAGAAAAATCCTAACATGCTTGATAAATTTGCTCATCTCAAGAGAATATTGGGCTGCAGCAAAAGATCGAAAAATTACTGTAGATGTGATTTTCACAGATCTAAGTAAGACCTTTTGAAAGGTCTTTTTTCGGGTCATAAATTAAAACCGGAAAGTTTTGGAATCCATTATAAGGTCACAGAATAAGTGGTTTTCTCGATGACAGGAGACAGAGAGCAAGGTTAAATGGAGCTCTTTCAATAAGAGAACTTGTAAAAAGTGAAGTTCCCCAGGATGAAATCCTTAGTCCCCTTCTCTTTTTACTTAATGCAAATGAATGACCAACTGCAGCTAAACCATCCGTTCTATTAATTGTCGATGACATAAAGATTTGGAGACTCATACACGGTATGTCAGATAGAATAGTATTACAGGATGATCTCAGTTCATTAGTGGCATGGATGGGCGGATGGTCACTAGAAGTAAATCCTAACGAGGTGTGGTGATGCAATTAAAAAACTATGATGCTTTATATAATTTTACAATATGTGGAGTTGTGTTGCCCAAAGTAATGGATTACAAGGACTTAGGAGTTATAATAAGCAGAGACCTCAAAACGAGGTGCAACTCCAAGGCCGCTGTTGCCAAAGGCTTTAGTGTATTATGGGCTATTAGTTGGTCTTTTCAGTATTTGGACGAAAAATTTTTTAGATTATTATGTCCGACTTTCTTCAGACCGTATTTGGATTGTGGGATTCAAGCAGCAAGTCCATGTTTCAAGTATGAGTCGGATATGCTAGGGCGAGTCCAACGACAAGGGACTAAAATCGTAAACGATTTCTCTGGTCTATCTTATGAAGACAGACTTTACGTACAAATTGTACCTAACTGATTTCCGTTATCTTACTGTAGAATACGGAGTATTTAATATTGGTTTACCGTATACTGAATGGAGAATTCGGTGTTATGATGTCTTGTCTTTTTCTCCAATCTAGGATTGATCATTTGAGAGAACATTCTAAGAAAGTTTAAATACAAAGATCAAATTGTCTACGTCTGAAGTTTCGTTCCTCGCACCAAGTGGTGAATTACTGGAATTCTCTACCGGAATACGTAATATCAGCATCTTATGTTGATATATTCTAAACGAGATTGGAACTCAACAGTGTTGCAAAGTTCAAGGATTAATATAGGTCTATGAACCTCCTATCCTTATTAATGAAGACTGATCTCTTTTAAAGTACGAAAACACAAGTTAAAGGAATGTGGACCTGAATATTAATGAACCAATTATGAACAATCAAAAAATAACTTCGAACGTAAAACTATGCATCTACAGGATTAGTTCCGCTGGAATTGCCCAATAGTGATGGGATCCAACATCCACAAAACGGCGCTTGGCTTAATGTTTGGTTGTTACTGCGCTAATTACGTATCTACCAACCTACATGAGCAGTTTGTGACCAAATTTTACTTTCAATCGACTTTTCTTTGTTGCGTTTTTAACTTTAGCACTTCGTAACATTTTTAATGTAGCATTAGGAACGCTGACTTTGATATTAAGTAAAAGATTCGTTGGTCCAATACGAAACAACCGTCAGTATAATTGGAGTAAACAATGTCGTGGTATGCTAACAGTTCTAATTATTCTTCTCTGTAATCTATATTAAGGAAATCTTTAGGGCGTTTGCTATCAGGAATTAAAGGAGCTTACAATGATATAAACCCTGCGACGTTAACTGGAGCCATTGATGTGATTGTTGTCGAACAAAAAGATGGTTCTTTCACTTGTGGACCTTTTCATGTTCGGTTCGGGAAACTAACAGCTTTCTCTCCAACGGATAAGGCTGTTGAAGTCTATGTCAATGGTGAATTTGTTGACTTTCTACAGATGTCTTTAGGAAGTGCCGGTGATGCATACTTTGTAGACTCTTCCGGTTCAACAACAGATGAATTCTTAACGGCAGATCCCAATGACTGTCCAGGATTCACATATGACGACTCATGGTCTGAGATTCCGTGCGGCGTCATTCACGAAAGGTTCGACGGGACTCTGCAATGAGTGAACCGGGTACAGAATCTAACTCAATAAAAGAAGATATAGATGAATTATGTGGGACAAGTTACGAAGTTTCATCTGATTGTGAAGCCTCAAGTGATAGGCTTAGAGACTCCCGAAAGTGTCGGAATTCTGTTAGTGATAAGTTTGGTTCTGACAGCCGGTTGGACGAAAGTTTAAAGGATACTGTAAGCAATTATAGTTACGATTGGAATCTGACGAAATATCAGCCACGTGGTAGCAGTTCCTGTGTCGTTAAAGATGTCACAAAAAGTGATGTACAAGACCCTCATCTAAAAACCTTTACACATGAAAAAGAAGTGTACCTGGAAGAACTAGTTACATCGGAAGTCGATCAAAATATTAAAGAGGTGTATATCTACCCCCCATCTCACGGAAATTTTCCATCTCAGTGTCAAGGATCATGCAACACTACTGACAGCAACTGTGTTGACTATGGTTATCGTTCCGACAACGAACACTCTCCGAGAAGCATGTCACCCATCCATCCCCATGATTTAAGTTTAAGACTCTCGTTGTGTGGTGGTTTATCTTCAGATAATCCTTGTTCTGAGGGGAAGTTTGTAGAGCACATAGTTTCTTATGAAGAATTTATACGTGACCCTAACACTATTTTATCTAATCCCAATCTTGTTGTTTACTTCAATGGACGTTATTGCAATTGGCAAGTAACTGCTCCTTCTATTGTCAGTTTACTTGCCTTTCAAACACAACTACCTTATCTGACTTTACAAAAGCTAGAAAACCAGTACCTACCCAAAAAGCAGTCTCGACGTACCTCATGGTTCAGCTGGGGTGCAAGTCAAACACGAACTGTTGCTACAAACTCCGTAATCCCTGCTAAAGAAGTCGATAATGTTGAAGAAAAACGGCTTGATTCCAACTCACAACCACCTCAGGTAAGTTTGTCTTTGAGGTTAATTAATACTTCTAGGTACACACCACTCACAGAGTTACTAAAATCAACAGACTTTCTTCAAGTGAAGTATCCAGATTGAAACTCAAACCTGGACGAAATGATATTGAGTTTCGTGTCACCACAAAGTATCAAGGGACTTGCACATGTTCAGCTTCGATTTATTATTGGCATTGGTATGACAAAATAGTTGTTTCTGACGTTGATGGAACCATTACACGTAGTGATTTACTTGGACACTTGCTTCCTATGGTAGGTCGTGATTGGACACACTCTGGAGTTGCTCGACTGTACAACCGAGTTAAAAATAACGGTTATCAGTTCCTCTATCTTTCAGCCCGAGCTCTCGGACAAGCAGGTATAACTAGGAGCTATTTGAGACAAGTCGTTCAGGATTCATCATCCAGGTTGCCAGATGGACCAATACTATTGTCTCCGAATTCTCTTCTCCATGCCTTCCACCAAGAAGTCATTATTAATAAACCAGAAGTGTTTAAAACGAAATGCCTTCAAGATGTATGTTGCCTTTTTCCGAAGGGATCCTCTCCACTCTATGCGGGATTCGGTAACAAGGTTAACGATGTTTTCGCATATCAGAAAGCTGGGATCGAGCTTTGCCGAATATTCACAGTTAATCCACGAGGAGAAGTTCGTAATGAATATCAGTCCTTAAGAAGTACAAGTTACCATGAGTTGGGAGATTTAGTGGATCTTCACTTCCCACCTCTTTGTAAGTACCAGACTACACATATACCACATCCTGTTGACTATCATTCTAGTTGTGTTATAAAGTCAGAAAATTCGACGCCAGCTGTTGCACATCCACCTGACACATTTGACCCCGTACTTGTTGATTTAACCACGTTCTCTAGTTTTTCGTTTTGGAAATCTAATTACGAATTATCTTTTCCTCTTCCGAAAACACTGGAAAATTCTTGATATATATATATATATATATATATATATGTCTGAAGTACATTTCGAAATCGCCTTTCTTGTTGCTCGCTTCCATTCTAGTAACATAACTAATGTAGTGTTTATCTTGCAAACAGACACCCATATTTTTCAACATATTTGCCTTTCTGTTTTATTAAAAATGTTACAGAGATTATTATTTTCTACTTTACGTACAAATTGTACCTAACTATTCGTAAAAATGAACTTTCTGAGATCAATAAAATGATAACGAATTATTTGTACTTTTCATACTATTTTTCAATAAAATAACTGAATGCACACTAGTTGGAACTTTTAGGCTCTATCGGAGAACCTATCAATAGATAGTTGTTTTGAACAGGCCGCAGCGCATTTGACCGAAATAGCTTATTCTCTGGACTCCAACACGTTACTCTACTTCTACGCTAGGTACAAACAGGTCAGTTACCGTTTAAAATTTTGTAGTTTGGCTTGTGTACAAATGGTAACAGAATATTTCCGCAGCACATTTACATCGATCCAGCCCACCGGCAACCTAAATGTGTCTTTCTTAGAATCATGTCCTGAAGCTGAATGTGTACGCATAAAAAATTCACTTCTTTGTTCTTAATAAGTTGCTAACTTGCGCCTGTTACGTCTCGTGGAGGAGCATAGGCCACCCACCAGCATTCTTCATCGAACTCTGTTCCATTTATTTATTTGGACGCATAAATATTAGTACAAAGGGGCACCGAATACATATGCGCAACACAAGTCACTTGATTTGTGTGTGGACTGTGATACTGTCCGGGTGCTCAGACTAAAGCAGGTGGTTTTCTTAGGGGACCACATCCGGAGCCTTCGATCTAAAGGTCTGATGCACAAGGCAGTGGAGCAACATCAGGGATGCAGTCCCACGGTAGCCGATGACCAACAATTGGTTTATACGCCATTTGTTCCTTCAGGATACTGGAGCCCATGTGCACCATTGGTTTGGGATCAGGGTTTCCCAACTCTTCCAGATGGATCCTCCATATCCACCGACTCGGTCATTCGATTTTCGTTCTCTCAATTTCGTAAACAACACCCCCGCCGCGAGAAGTCAGTGAGTAGGACTTTCCTAACAGTGACTGTATACGCGTAGCCGTGTGAGAGCATTTGAAGAGGGAGCTAACTCTCCACACCCTTGGCCGTATCAAGGCATTTGGGAGCAGTTTTTCCAGTTGCTGATCATCACTTTGATGTCTGTCTCATTCCCGGCACAGTGTTGCTCGAAATTCCTTTTTTCCGTTTCCCTTCGGGATTCCAAGTCAGAGCCTGCCTCGTAATGCAGTTTGATGACTCCCACAATGTATGTCCCATCCACCTTTAGCATCTTTTACTAATTTCCTCTTCGTCTGATGGTATCCGGTCAAAAGATATTGAATATTGAGTGAATACATGTTCCCTTTTTATATTGATGGTTGTAGTAGTTCTCCATGTTTCAGCTGCATATAGTAGAATTGTGTTGACGTTCGTATTAAAGATTCTCATTTTGATATTGATTGACAGTTGTTTTGATTCCCATATGTCCCTCAACTGTAGGAATGCTGTCCTTGCTTTGCCAATCCTTACCTTTACGTCCGCATCAGATCCTCCTTGTTTATCGACGATACTGCCCAGATAAGCGAAAGCTTCCACCTCTTCCAGGGTCTCTCCATGAAGTGTGATTGGGTTGGTATTCTCCGTGTTGTATTTGGCGATCTTGATTTTTCCCTTGTGTATGTTGAGGTCTACTGACGTAGAGACTGCTGTCACACTGACTGTACTCACCTGCATTTGTTGGTGTGTGTGTGTGTGGGATAGAAGAACCATGTCATTTGCGAATTCCGAATCGTCTAGTTGCATGTGAGCTGTCCACTGTGTTCCGTGCTTCCTCTGAGATGTCGAGGTCTTCATAATCCAGTCAACCATCAGAGGAAAGAGAAAGGGAGGAAGTAAGCAGCCTTGTTTGACTCCGGTCCTGACTTGTAATTGGTTTGTGAGCTGTCCTTCATACACAACTTTGCAGTGTAGTCCATCGTGTTAATTCCGTATGGTGTTGATGATTTTCCCTGGTACATTATAGTGTGGAAGAAGGTTCCATGAGGTTTTCCTATCCACCCTCGAATGATTTCTCATAATCAATGAAGTTGGTGTATAGTGACGAGTTCCATTCAATTGATTGTTCAACGATGATCCGTAATGTCTGTGCACTACCTATCCACACGGAATCCGGTCTATTGATCTCGAAGCTGGTCGTCTACTGAATCTTTCATCTGGTTCGGCAACACTGTTGAAAACGTTTCTTGGTACCGATACTAGTGTGATGCCTGTGCAGTTCTCACACTTGCTGAGATCTCCTTTCCTTGGTATCCTGATGAGATATCCTTCTTTCCAGTGTCTGTCTGTCTGTCTGTGTCTATCAGTATGTCGTCACTTGTTCCTCCTCCCAAATCCTCCTGAATGGAACATGGAACATGTTTGTGGTTACTTCAACGTGTGACTTGAATGATTCAGTTGGTAAATTGTCAGGTTCGACTGCTTCTGCTGCTGTTGATGTTTTCCCACAGTTGATTTGTTTGATGACCGATCATCCTGATTTCTTCGATCGTCGGTGGAGTGACAGTCGTAGGAATGTGTGTATGTGTTGCCTCGATGTTCGTTGTGTTCATTGGAGCTGTTCTATTCAAGAGTTCGTCAACGTGTTCTACCTATCTGTTCCTGCCTTGTCTTGTTTGTCCTTAATCGGTCTCTCTGGTTCACTCTATTTCCCTGCTTGTTTCTTGGTTGCGCCATACGGTTTTCTGATATTTGCTTGTGTTACAGCTTTTTCCACCGTCGTTGTTAGGTGTTCCATGTATTTCTTCCTGTCGACTCTAATGCTCCTCTTCACCTGTTTGTTTGCTTTGTGTGCTCAGCTTGTGCCCTGACCATCTCCGTTCTTCTTCGACTGTTGTTAACTGCATTGTTTTTGTTCTTCTTTTCTTGAATCCAAGACAGGAGTTCCATAGAGATCCATTCCTCATGATACTGCTTGTTGTGGTGCAGCACTTCCTGACACATTGAAGTTGGCGTTACTTTGATCCCTTTCCAGTTGTTCTCCATAGTATTTTCTTCTTCTTCTTTGAGTAGATCCTGTAAGACTTGGAACCTGTTGTTGAGAGCTATCTAGAGTTCTTTGAGTTTTAATTAATTAGTCCGTTTGATAAATTTTATAATGTAATAAGACGAAGATTATCAGAACTATGTGATATATTAGCGCAATACATTTCGAAAAATCTAATCACACATATACTTGTTAAGAACATTTATATATGAAAATTAAAGGTCAAGTAGACTGGAAATGGGGTAAGAAGAGACAAGGATAATAATAAGAGTGAACATAATTTGAAACCTAGTCATCACTCTGGATAATAAGTCAATATTACCAGGGTAGGTATTGACCTGTCCACGTTGCTTTTCTAAAAATGGATCGTTTGACTGAGCCATCTCATCTACTCAGAAGTATATCTAGGAAGGGAAGCTAATCGTTCTTCATTTCACATGAGAGACTGATATGGCTTGGGAGAGTGTTAAATTTATTCAATAAGCAGTACATGTCCTCATTTCTGTCCATGGCACAGTGAGACCTACTGCAGCCTCGGTAGAGAAAAAGCCTATCTATATCACCTTACCATTCAGAGGTTATTCAAATAGCCTTTTGCTGAAACAAAGGCTTAAATCAGTCATCAACAAAACGTATTGCGCAGCAAAGGTCATTCTCAAAGAAAAAACAAGGTGCATGCCTCATCCAAAACCTAAAAGACATGAAAACGATTGTATCACATCCCACTGTGTTTACCAATTTAAGTGTGTGTGGTCACACATACATAGGGAGGAGCAATCGTGATCTGAAAATTAGTGTGTGAACATGTACCAAAATGGTTGCAGAAACAAATACAATCAAGTGACTCAATAAGAGCAGAGTATGAGCATCCATCATCCTCAATTGCTAAACATATAATTGAAACGGGCCATGAGATTGATCTAAACGCGGCTTTTGTGCTGTTGTATAAAAGTGTAAAAGGGTGTATACTAAGGTTTATTTAAGCCTAAGCCATACGAAAACTCAAATCCCCTTTGTGTATTCAAAAACAGTTTGTTCTCACCTTAAACCTACCCTAGTAATATTGACTCACTATCCAGAGTGAATAGGTTTCAAATTATGTTCACTCATTATTATTATTATTATCATTATTATTATTATTATTATCATTATTATTATTATTATTATTATTATTATTATTATTATTATTATTATTATTATTATCCTTGTCTCTTCTTACTTCATTTCCAGTCTACTTGACCTTTTATTTTCATATATAAATGTTCTTAACAAGTATATGTGTGATTAGATGTTTCGAAATGTATTGCGCTAATATATCACATAGTTCTGATAACCTTCGTTGAGTTTGTCAATATTTCGAAGGACGTCTGTATTGAACCTTAGTAATACTGTTTCCGCAATTTTCCGATGCTTGTTTAGCTTCAGTTTGATCTTGGCTACAATCACGTGGTGGTGATTGTGGTGACCTGGAGTTATATAAGCTCCTCTCTTTGTTTTCAAGTCTCCGATTGACCGTCTGAATGTTTTACTGATGCAAATATGTTCTATCTGGTTCTCCGTGGTGTGATCCGGTGAGATCCATGTAGCTTTGTGTGGAAATATTGTGCTGCCTATAATCGATTTGTTAAATGTACATAGATTTGCAAATTTCTCTGGATTGTCGTTCGTTTCTCCCAGTCAGTCCATGTCGTCCGATCATATCTTCATAACCGTTGTTGTCCATTCCGACTTTGGAGCTCATGTCTCTCATCAGGATGGTCAGGTCGTTTGTTGGGCACTTAGCTATGATTGATTGCAGCCTCTCGTAGAAATGATCTTTATCGCTGTCGTTGTCGTTGCTATAATTGGTGGGTGCATAACATTGGATGAGATTCGTTGTGATCGCCTCCTTATTTGTATTGAAGGATGCCTTGATGATTCTGGATGCATGAGATTCCCATCCAATGAGTGCTTTTCGTGCTTGTTCGGACGGCATCACAGCAACTGCCTGAGTGTGTGGAGCATTTTCTTTCTCATAACCAGAGTACAGCAGCATCTCTCCGGAATCGATCGTGTTTTCTGTCGAGCTTGGTTCCAATGAGTTTCACTGATTTGTAGTACCGTCAAGTTGTATCTCTTCATTTTCATAGCTATTTGATTAGTCCTCTCGATCTTCCACATTGTCTGAACATTCCATATACCTACATTAATTGTTGTTGTGTTTGTTAGAAGGGTCGTCGTCTTCATGACTTCCGAGGAATCTTGGGTTTCGGTACGAGGCGTCATAATTCTTCTGAATGAAGATGCTTCAACTGGGAAGTTAGAGTTTAGATGGTTTAACTTGTTTATTGTGGTTAGTGATTTTAGGCAAGGTTGTTTTCTACATGATAGGGTTTCTGACGCTATTTTCGACCCTCCTCCTATGAATATGTCTGGGATCGGAACAATCGTAGATGTATACATATGGGGTTTCTATTTCAGACACCACAACAAATGTACAGAGGAGTTTTGTTCTATAGGACCTAACTACTTCGTTTCACGAAGAGCCAGGAAAACTAAGTTCTATTCGACTCGAGAAATTTTATCGTTATATAAGTCAACGGATGATGATGCGCCACAATGATTAAATAAATCCTCTGAAACCTTTTTACTCGACCAGTATTGACTGAGTCATTACTGTCATCGAAACTACTAACCTCAAGTAGTATTCATTGCTTCATCAGGGCGCTCATAGACGTGAATATTCTGTTTTTTCTGTGATTTTTGTCGTACATAGAAATTCAGTCACCAAATAGAACTACATTGATGACATGGTTTTTGTTAACGAAGACGCTGACAAAGAATATTAAGGTTACATAGAATGAAAATAAAATGGAATGAAAAGTAGAGAAATATGAAAAGCTCATTTGTAATAATCTGATTTCGAATATCTTTTAATTAAATAATAAGGCTAAATGAATAAAACGTTTTCTCCATAATTATTCACTACAATCTTTGTGTGTGAGCTGGAATATTACACAAACCCTTAGACTAAAACATGTGATTTCTAAATGGATCACCTCCCAAGCTTTGATTTAGAGGACTAATCCATGAGTCAATAAAGCAGTCACGAGATACAGTCCCAAATTAGCATCATACGTCCTTCGTCTCTTTCGGATCCTGGAGTCCATGTAGACCATTCGTTTGGGATCAAGGTCTTCTAACTTCCCCAGGTGGACCTGCTCTACTCACCAACCCGTTCTGAATGCCATGTCGGGTTTTCAGGGGAACGTCCTCGTCACATAAAGGCAATTTGCAGGACTTCCCTGACATTTTATAGACGTTTGATCGTATGACAGCGTTTCGAGAAGGCGAGCAGACTTCTTTCCATCGCCCATACCTAGAAAACCAGTGCACTATAAGCTTATCATTTCAATTTCTACTTATTTAATAATAATAACTGACAGCATTTAGGATTGTCTTTGAAATGAACTTATGGACATATTGTTTTTTTCTGACTTACGGATACATTAACCCTACCATGCATTGGGACAACATAAGTCGTCCGGATGCACTCAAGTTGTTTCCCAGTGTCATTTCGAGAAAGGATCCCGTTTTTGTTGTGATTGAATAGAACAGATAACACAGGCTTGTTTGGTTTGTGAATGTTTTGATTGAAAAATTAACTTTTCAACATCTGTTCATTACTCTGATTAGCTTATGTTGCCTTTTCTGGATCGACTACATCCATATCAACATTACATTGATGAAAGTATTCTGCAACCTATAGGAGTAAAGCTTTTAGGTGTAAAACCCGAACCCCCTTCTCTTGTTCTCTACCTCTTTCCCTCATTGATCAATGTACAGCGTAGTTCCGAACGGCCAGCAAAAAGCCTACTTTCGAACTAATAAAAGCAATGGCTTTTGGATTTGAGCTCTAGTATGCAGTTCTTATTACTATAGCCATATTATCCCATGTCTATTTCAGACAGCGAGGTTGATACTATTTTTTGAGAGATGTTTGTGAATCACGGATCTTCTAAGAAAGAAATTTGTTAAACAATTAATAGTCGATGGAAAATAAACTTTCTATTCTTTCATCATCCGTGACAACCATCGTTAAGTAAATGATTTGTATGTGACATAACTGTACAAAGTCAAAGGTCATTCATATTGACTGAAAACATCGTTAAGATCAGTTTCCCAAAATATCCAGCATGTAATAGTTTGGAGAAGCTATCGGTTGTAGATACGAGTCCTCCGTGTTCCAATGGTGGTGATATGTCTATGGATTGTAACCATAAGTTGCCGCTGGTTGTTTATAGGGGAAGTCCATGGTTCTCTTGTTTGATAAAAGATCAAACAAAGAGGATCCATCCTTTATTGATTTGGAGACCTGAAGCCTCTGTCGTAATTGAATTCATGTACTCGACTTCGTTTAAGAAAACGGTTCCACAGGACGCCTTCTACATACATCTCACGGTGTTCAAGCTTAACTTTTATATAGAGAAAGAAACTTTTATCATTAACTTCGTTTAATAGGTAGTTTTGAAATATTGACAATACATAGTCGATCTTGGAGACGAGGTGTTAACGCGTTGTGATTGAGTTGGTGACCTAGAGTGCTGTTTCTTTCCGACGCGTGACTAGAAGAATGTTATTCTTGAGGGTTGCATGATGCACATTATAGGACGTACTGTAGAACTGCAGGTGTTTAAGTAAAAAAAAACTCCAAAAAGAACGTAGTCAGTTGAGTATACTTTCGGGTCTTTTCTAAAGAATTGATCCTAAGATTGCTAAAAGCGCTCATTTTTCATTTATCTCGGGAAAAGTTATTACCTTGTAAATCTCAATTAAGGCAACCGTCGGTATCTAATCCTCAACTCGTTGTAATGTTCTAGCATAGGTCCATAATGACCGTGAACTTCAAAGTTGTGAAACTTCTACACAGTTCAGAGCGTAAGGGGTTACAGTAATAATATATTAAGCCGCTTTTCACTTTTATACCGTTTGCTGTGTTAGGTTACTAACCATTTTCCATCTTTTATTAGTTTCATCAACCCTGCTATCTCTTGATCGTTTCATTAAGTCCTGAAGTCTTTTGTAACTCTTTATACTATTCGTAAATAATATACACAATCTCCATCTCTTTGAACATTTTTTTAAAAGTTGGATCGTCATATGCGGCTTCATCTAGATGGACATCCATCGTTTGGGTAAATGTACTGTTATCTCTGTCATACTCAGATAAATCCTAATGCGGTAACTTAAAATAACTCAGTCACGTTTATTTCTAATTTGAAAATAAGTAGGCCTTTCAATTTTCCACCTCCAATATTTTACACAAATGTTTCTTGTTCTTTAGTTGTCTGATCCTTCCATTCACAACTGTAGTCTCATATTAGAACCCCACCCCACCTGCTTCTGCTTGGAAAATTTGTGATATCAGTGTCTCAAGGCCGAGTACATGTAGACTTGTTTTAATGAGCTGAATTACATTATTATTCACTTTATGTCAAGAATAATATAATGGCTTCAATCTTGTCGCAAGCTTAGGTTTCTTCGGTACGTTAATATTGTGTGGGGTGTACAAAAATTATAGTGATAAAAGCTATGTTTTTTATACAGATAGTAGTGAAGTACTGACGCATTTAACTTCATACCAAAAACTAAGCACTAGAAAACTGTGAATTCAGCATATATTGGTTTAGAATCTATCAGTCAATACTGCCTGTACTTGAGATTACTGTTGTCACATTATATTTAGAACCAACAGAAGATAAGTAATTATTCTTGATGTGAAAACTTGTTTTCTCTTCTTATACACTGAGTAAAAATTAGTTGTACATGTTAAAATTATGAGTGAACATTCAGGCGAAACATAGGACGTACAACCGTCTTGCCATAATCTGATCATAAATACTATAGTTTGAGTAGCCTGGTCACATTGCTAGCTTTCATAATATGAGTATGACATATAACCTTCATAAGTAGGTCTTTGTATTGTTTTAAAAGTACGTTGATACTGATGGGTGCAACGTCTGATCAGAATATTTTTTGTGTTCCTTGTATTCACTTAAGAAACCGTTTAATCTATATTAATTGCTTATGTCTAAAGGTTACGCCTTATGAAGGTAATACGAACTATTAATTCACCATTTAGCATCCAAGTTTAGAATCATTTTCCCTTATTTCTATTACAGGCCACTGTTGGCCCATGCAATGTATCAAAACCAGGAATTTTCGATGTCAGTGGTCGAAAGAAATGGTAAGTATGCTTGCGATTCAATAGTTCACATTTTACTGTACAAATTAGATCTGTTAAAAAATAATTAATGATAATTTACTAAATAGTTTTAACAGGTCCTGGATTGTTACCATTTGTCTGTTTGTTTTGTATTCATTGACACGCATCAAGTATCTGTGTTTTCAGCAGATATTTTTTATCTTCCTGTTATAACTTGTCAATTGAATGCTGATTATCTTGGCTCTTTTAATGCTAATTTTTATATCTGGTCGTTGCTGATTGTTGTGTCAGAAACGCTTATCACTTATACTTGAAACGAGGGACCTGTGCAATTTTCACGACGCGAAAGTAAGAACACAAGACTGGTATAAGTGAAGATTTATTAACTCCCAAAACACGACGACTCTAGTAGAAAATACACCCATTTATATATTGATTGTACATCCATTTTGATTAATAATTAGGATGAAATCCCATATATGAAAAATACTTAGAGTTATAACAAATCACTTACAGAGCATGGTTCATGTCCATCGAATACAAGAATATCGCATATTATACAGAATAAAATATCATACGAGGAAACAAAACCGAATACTACACTGAATAATCATCACATTGAATCAAAATGGAAGTAATGTTGGACAAAACTCATATGTTTTCTTCCCGTCATATCACTTCCACTTAACTCATGAAGAGAAAACTCATTTTTAGACTATACTTATAAACAAAATAGGACCTGATATAAGTATTTGCTGGAAAAAAAATACTGTTTTTCATATCAGAACGTTATCGGTTGATCGGTTTTTGTTACTAAATATGTTGATAGAACGAAAGCAAATGGGCAATAAACAAAAAAAAACTACATTTTAAAGAGTTGAAATAGGAAATTCCTATGACCTTATTAATTATCAAATCGGTGTTCCATTGATATACTGTAGATTTTATAAATTTTTTTAAACTGTGTTTATCTAAATAACTTTTATTAATATTTATGTAAGTTATGTTTTATCCAGGTTAATGGGGATTCAACAGTTGTTACTTTGCAACTTTAATCAGTTTATTTTATATGCCTTACTTTTATCACGGTTAGAGTTAAGTATCATTTGAATTGGAAATCTAATTTCTCTCCAAGTTGTTGTTAAGAGGGAAACAAATATATAATTTAGTATTGTTATATTTCTAAACAAAATCAGTTAATTTATTGATTTCATAAATTATATACACACATGAGATTACTAATTACCCACCAATTCAATCCATTCAAATTTATTAATTGACTAAACATTTAAAATGACATGTAAGTTTCTACTCTTGTGGATGTCGTTTAATTAGTGGTTAGTGAATAAATTAGTCTTCTTTTTCAGTCTTATTTTCTTCCTTTCGTCAGCATAACAGTCTCGTCCCGTTGAAATAAATTGCACGTAGCGGTTATTCTGTCATCATAGTAAAAGGTTGTACCCGTAGTATTAATCAGCACTTAGCTCTAACTACAATACTGACAAATCGATCTTGTTTCAGGTCATCACAGCTAGTGTATTGGAGGTATTTTCACCAGCTGTAAAATCTAGTTCCAGATAATTTAATGTCTCCTCTACTTTAAATTAATAATATGTGTAAACTAAATAACATCTGCCTGAAAATACTAGTAAAATTCTTTCCTTTTTATTTTAAATTCATACATGATCATTGAATTTATATATTATAATCACATGTACAAATTTAGTGTGTTAGCAAAAACTTGACTGATGTCAGTAAAGGTTACATAACCCAAAATTTAAGCGGTAGATATGTAGAAAAGGATATTAAACAAACATTATATTGACGCTATTCTGTATCCCTTCGAAATCACCCACTTGAAATATGTAAAAAGATACTACCAGTAAAAATTATGTTGAAAAGGGTTCTTTGTATTCGTAAAATAATTCCAGGATAAATTATGTGAAAATATAAATTAACCCATTCACCAGGTACGTGGATATACTCAGTTACTACTCGGTTGGGCGAACCGAGGTAGGTGGGGCTTAATTCGATTTTAACATAATTCAAGTAAAAACGATAAATGAACATGTTTGGATTTTTCATGTGTGTCTTGAAAATGCAACTCTGTTTAGCATAGTGTTAAAATTTCCATTAATAGAGTTTATTTTTCAATTGGATTTTAAATCAGGGTCTTATAGAATTACTTGAAATGGGAATAAAAATTGGTATTTTACATGATATTACCCGTGGATGTACAATTTTAAAAGACCAAGAGAAATAGGGTTCAGTGTAGTTACACACAACTTAAATTTTTAAAAAAACTGAAAGGAAGCGAAAGGGTTGATAACAGTTATATGTATGATTACTGTACTACACAAGCAAATGACATGTTTTCATGAATCATGTGAAGTAAGCTAATATCCCAACTAAGTCCCCGTAAACCGGTGTTTTGACCCAGCAGCCCAATAGAAATCTCCAAAAATGCTTAGAGCTACCTATAGTTTGGATTTTCTTCGTGTTTCTCTACAAAAATACATGACAATCTACATTTTCTGTAAAAAGTTCATCCCGAAGATTTAAAGCAAGATTCATTAGAAATGCTACTCATCCCTTCGATTTTTATATTACAACTGGTACCCAAATCCATTACCTATTTTTGCAATTCACAGGGTTGGTTATCCACTGGTTTACTAAGTCCAAAAAAGCATTCGAAACATCCTCAGAGGTGTTAGTGGTCAGTAGGAGCCATAAAGTTGAACCTACGTTCTAACCCCAACTGTAAGCTAATATCACAATACAATCGCAATTCATATTCTGGTCATATTTTTTTGTGAGTTTTATTTTGTTGGTCGATTTTAGGTGGGCGTGGCATGATCTTGGGAATATGCCTATCGATGAAGCACAAAAGCAGTATATTGATAAGCTACAAGAACTGAATCCTGCATGGAAACCATCGGTAACTTTGATTTATTTCCGTAACCGGAATTGTTAATTCATAAAACTATATTTTCTTAATTACCTTAACAATAGTTTCAGACAGAACGTTTTTGGTTCTTGAATCAATAATGTCTTTCCAAATTGTGTTTCTCAACTTAAAATTCCAAAGGTTTATAGTGTCTATGGAAGCTGATATATGTTAAAACATACAAAATATATGTGCATAATATTCCAGTTCATGCTTGTAATGACTTTGCAGTTCAAAAGCCAAAATTCCTAAAACTGACAAGCAGTTTCGAAACCCACTCAATATACTTTGGTCTGTTTTAATTTACGGCAGCAAAACATGGTCATTAAGAGTAGAAGACACTCGTAAGCTACTAGTATTTGACCACAGATGCCTTAGAAATATTGCTGGCGTCTGCTGGGATCACCGGGTAAGTAATAGTGATATTTGACTCAGGCTATTAGGTAATGATGGTAAATCAGTTGGTGAGGTTGTAAATCTTCATCGACTGAGATGGTGAGACCACGTGTTACGTATGCCCGAACACCGACTACCACGACGTGCAATGCTATCCGGTGTTCGGGATGGTTGGAAGAAAGTTAGGGGCGGCCAAACCAAAACGTGGCATCAGTGCTTGAAGTCACTAACTTCTATTCTGAGTCATGTTGGTAGATGCAGACTACTTGGTTGGGGTCCGCGTGACTATCGTAACCAATGGTTGGAGACTCTTGGTGACATGGCTCAGAATCGATCACAATAGCGTCGGCGTATACGCTCTCTGTCTTACCTTAAACTAAGAGATTAAAATCTCTTCATATCTTTCTTTCTACGAACTAATTCTTTCTTCCTGTACTATATCCTTAGTGCAATCTTTCTTTTATATATTACCACCACTGAATTAACTACTTTTATGATTCCGGTGTCCATCTTGTTGTGTTAATGAGGTATGGCAACTTGGACCGATGCATAAATGTGCCTGGTCCTATGCTGTAGCTGACTGCCTTTGGTTGACACAACCAGGTAGCACCTCTAGCTGTTGCACAAAAGGTCTCGTTCTGTATCAACTACGTGAACCTGTATTTGATTACTCACTTAGATGAAATGTATAAACAATTCAGAGAATAATCGCTATTTGAATCCATCATAACATTTCAGACATTTACATAATTGATTAGTTTATATACTGGTTTGTAGAATATGTTTTCCTTTTTAACATGTAATCTGGATTATAATATAATTACCAATTGACGTTAAAATATGATAAATTTTCAACTGGAATAGTCAATAAATCAGCTACAACATAAGACCTGGCATATACTTGCACCGGTCGAAGTTGCCACACCTCATTAGCACAACAAGATGAACACCAAATTCACAGAAGCAGTCTCTTCAGTGGTAGTAATATATATAAGTGATTGCATATAAGGATATGATACAGGAAAAAGAATTGGTTGGTAGAAAGAAGGATATAAAGTAATTTTAATCCTACAGTTTAAGGGAAGACAGAGAGTGTATGCACCCACATCATTGTGATCGATTCTGAGCCATGTCACCAAGAGTCTCCAACCATTGGTCACGATAGTCACGCTGACCCCAACCAAGTAATTTACATCTACCAACGTGGTTCAGACCAGAAGTGAGTGACCTCATGGACTGATTTCACGTTTTGGTTTGGTCACCCTTCGATTTCTTCCAACCGTCTCCAACACTACTCAGCATTGCGCGTCGTGGTAATCGGTATTCAGGTATACGTAACACGTGGCCTAACCATCTCAGTCGATGAAGATTTACAACCTCATCCACTTGTGTGCCATCATTTCCTAATAGCCTGCGTCAAATATCACTATCACTTACCCGGTTATCCCAGCAGATGCGAGCTACATTTCTAAGACATCAGTGATCAAATTCTAGTAGCTTACGAGTGTCTTCTACTCTTAATGGTCACGTTTTGCAGCCGTAAAGTAGGACAGAACGTACTGCTGCACGGATATCTGGTCTTTACTATATGTGACGTAAGTAGGTAAAAGCCAAACGAACTTTCTGAAACCGTGCAGAGATTTCGTCAGACGCCAACCCATTATAGCTAGTCAGACTTCCAAGATAAGTGAAGTTGTCGACGCGTCCGACTATTTCACTCACTATCCTTAGTTCAGATGTTGACGCATGTCAGTCCTGGGACAATAACTTGCATTTCGAGGTGGAAAAACACATCCCAAACATTCTGGCATTGTTGCTCAGTGCTATGAAAAGGCTCTGCATTTTATCAACATCTTCACCAAACAGGACTATGTTATCTGCATATTCTAAGTCGGTAAGTAAACCTGGTTGGAGATGGATTCCCGATTATTCAGTGGACCTGAACGTTGTTTCCATCAGTACATCTATGATGAATTTGAACAAAAATGGAGATAGTGGACAGCCTTGACGGACACAACTTGAGGTTGTAAAAACAAATGACAGTTCGTCATAAGCTCTGACTCGACTAGCGGTGTTCGAGTAAAGAGCCTTCACATGGTTTATGTACTTCTGAGGTACACCTTTCGATGACAGACAGTCACAGAATTTCTCGGTCTATAGAGTGGAATGCTGCTTTTGAGTCAAGAAAAACTATTGTTGTCGGACGCCGATAAACATGCCTGTGTTCTAGAACCTGACGAATAGTGAATATGTGGTCTATGCAGCCACGACCAGGTCTGAAGCCAACCTAATTTTCTCGTGTTTGCAATTCACGAGTCTTTGCTAGGCACCTGATAATTATTGATGCTAGTATTTTAGATGCTATGTTGGTAAAACTAATCTTTATATGGTTATCATAGGATGATTTTGACTCGTTATATATTGGGACAATCAGTGATTGTGCCCAGTCAAATGGGATTACGTCCAACTCCCAGATTTTAGGTCAAATATTAGTTAACCCAATTGCTGAAACTAGACCACTATTCTTAAAGACATCTGGAGCAGCTGCTCTTCCTCGTTTGAGATTAACTATACCCTTTTGAACTTGAACTAGAATCGAGGGACCTACTTCAATGTTCCATTCACTCTGTCTTGGAATGGTGGGTAGTTGTAGAGTAGCTGAAGACTAGTTGGACTGCTCCTTAAAGTGTTCCGCCCATCGTTTTAAATGTTTAGGCTAAGAGCGGATAAGAGTGTCGTCTGTTTCCGAGGTAGTCTCACTTACACCTGACCTATTAATATCGGTTTCTTTTATTAGTCTGAAGAGCTGTCTTGTATGACCTAACACTGCTGCCTTTTCCATCTCTTTTGCTTTCGTTGCCCACCACTGCTCACGGTCGTTCCTTAGACTTTTGGTTAACTTAGGTCTGATTCGTTTTCGCTCTTCATCGTGTTCAGAGCCTGATGTGATGAGTTTATGAGGATCTATCAGTGAAATAGACTTAGAAGAAATCCAACGGTTTTTCATAACCGTTTGATTAAAATCACTAGTAGATGTCACTGCTGTTTCTACAGCTGTTCGTATATCTTTCCAGGCAGAGGCACAATACGATAAGTCGTATCTCATTTTTTCCAACTCCGTGTTTCGATGGGGAATGTTCGCCCCGAAATGCCCTGGTACGGCCGAAGGTTGGGAGAGTCAGCTCTCCCTCTCGAAATGTTCTCACATGGCCACGCATATATAGCACCTGCCAGGGAAGTCCTACTCACCGTCTACTCGTGGCGGGGATGTTGTTTACGAAATTGAGAGGACGAAAAGCGAATATCTGGCGCTTGTACCGAGTTGGTGGTCATGGAGAGTCCACCTACGGGAGTTGGAAAACCCTGACTCCAAACCAATGGTGCACATGGGCTCCAGTATCCTGAAGGAACAAATGGCTAATGAACCGATCGTTAGACATTGGCTACCGTGGGACTGCATCCCTGACGTTGCTCCACTGCCTTATGGATCAGACCTTTAGATCGAAGGCTCCGGATGTGTTCCCCTAGTAAAACCACTTGCTTCGGTTCGGGCACCCGGGCAGTATCACAGCCCTCACACAAATCAAGGGTAGCTGCTACTGGCCTCATTGTTATTGTGTGGCGCATATTTATTTGGTACCCCCTTGTACCAATGTTTATGTTTTCATATAAATAAATTCTAATAGTGCTTCTTCTGCTCTCATGCTTAGCGCTATACCTACATTCGCCAGTCCACAAGAACTAGCCATCGGGTCGCCAGACAAACGGAAGATGTATCTCGTCGACTCCCCGTTTTGGCGAGTTGAGTTCAAGTGAATGACCCCACTAGGATCCTGTATGTGTGTTTCGGAGACAGCGTACATCAACGGTACGAGATTCTACTGTCTTAGCCAAAGAGACCTGTTGGCCGATTAGACATAGGGTACGTACTTTGTAGACTCCAATGTGTAGTTTGGAGCGAGGTTTCAGTATACAGTGTTTCGTGCACTAGAATCGTTGTCCATGGTGGCACTTGAGGAGTAAGTCGAAAACGAAAGTGTAAAGTTGATAGTCGAGGTAGGTGGAGTAATATGAATTGAATAGGACAGTTTTCACTTCTCGGTTGCCCACACCGTGAAAGGGTTCTTTTAGAGGCACCTGAAAAGGATTTTGTATAAATAATCTTATCAGCCAAATTGTATACTTTCACTCATTGACTCGAACTAGCACCGAATTCTTAAGCCTAACAGTTATAGTGATTAAGCTATTAATTCATAATATCAAGATCGATTTTATGCCTATATTAAGAATTAATTCTGTAGTCATATCAATTTTGTTGGTGAAATAGCTTGTAGTAAATAATCAAATAGTTTTCACTGTGTTCAGTTACACGATTTCTGTATAATATGTGTACTTTCACTCGATCACTCAATTTGAATATAAAGGAAATTAAGCAACGTGTAGTTGTGAATTTCTAGTTTAAATTGTTTACCCTTTGTTATTCCAACTGTCTAACAGTTGAATTTTCATCTACGCTACTCACTTTTTATATTAAAGACTAAAGTAAATATACTTTTCATTAGTATAGCAACTCTGGTTCTACAAAGAGCGAAAGTTTGCTAGTGATAATCAAGTGGGAGTTGATGTAGAAAAAGGTATATGATGTTTTATTGATTCAATCATTCTTTATCCTTACTGCTCAGTTTTTCTGACTATCAAGCATTCAATCCCACGTTGATGTACAACATCTATCACGATAGATTCTCAGTAAGCACAGGACCAATGTTCTTTAAAGATCTAAGGTTTTTAAATATTAAGCAAGTTCTACGGTAAAAATGTGAATACTTATAACTTACCCAACCATTAGTTAACCAAGTACATGACAGTTTTAATTAATCAAACAAAATTTTTCATGTATTATTTGTAGAACGAGAAACAAAGATCTGTATATGTCAGTCAAATGATCAATTTGAACCCAAACTCAAATGAATCACCACTTGTATCTGACACTGACCATCCAATTTTTAATATAATTAAACAAAATGATATAGATTCTTTAAATCGTTTATTATCAGCAAATGGTAACGAGGTTCATTCAACCGATGAAAATGTAAGGTACTTTTTCAAATCAGAATTGTTATTAAGGTCAACTTTACATTTTTTTTACCAAGTTCACATATAGTCGACTAATTACTTCCTTCCTAATGACATTACAAAATATTCTGTTCCGTCTTATAGGTCTCATCTTTGAATTATACATGTAATTTAATTTATAATGGATTACAATAAGGCAAAGTTAACCCACAATTAATTCATGTTTGTTTTTAAAATCTTATTATAGAAGAATTTCCAGGTGATTATTTAAAGCTAAATATTTATAGGTTTAAATAATGTACCTAAAGTTTGACAAATATTCATCACCTAAAATAAACAACCACTCTCAATCCCCCATTTTCTGCATGTACAAAGTTTTAGCCATCTCAAGGAGAGATTGTATTAGAGAAATGTGTTAAGAATAAGCAAAATTCACTATTCATTATTGGATATGTATATTTTCTTCTGGAAAAATTGTTTTACTATTACTGGACAATTACTGAATAAGAAATGAAATGTTGACTTGACAAACATTTACATTCAGAGTTTTGTTGAACTTTATCTGAATATGGTGTGTTTTTAATATTAAAACTAAAAGCATCAAGTATTTCTTGTAAATCTAGAGATTAAAACCTAATTTCAAGTTTGAATAAACCATTGGAATGGGTTGTAGTTAATGTTAACCTTAGTGTATATTGTCACTCTTCTCTTAAATGTGAAAATAATGTACATTAATTAGAAACCGCCACTATTAAACCCTGATGTATCCATACTCCTGTTAAATTTATACAAACACTCGTCGGTAAACAAAGATCCCATTTCTGATTTCTTTTTCAGAATTTTCACTGTTGTAATAATCATATAGATTCACCTGTTTTGATCGGTTGCGTAATGTTAACCGTAGTAAGTCAAATGTGATAATAACTCATGTAGTGTAGAGGTGATCTGGTGGTTAAGGGTTTGAACTTTCGCTTACTAAGTTTCATGTTGAAATCTCTCCCTTCCTACCTGATACTCGGGAAACTGGTTAGCACTACCAGTCCTTGCGCACATAGTGTGGCCAAGTACATAAATCTATACCTGGTAAGAGAGAAACTGTTTGAACACAATCGTATATTAAGCTTAAAATTATAGACGTTATACGAAGGTCAACAGTGTTGCTCCGTTGAAAATCTGTGAAGTGCTTAGGAAACCCATGACTTAGTTACTTAAAACACTAATGTTCATATTAGTTTAGGGTAATTAGTTTACAATCACATCTAGAGAAAAGTTACACACGTAATTATTATTCCATTAAACCAAATATTTTGTGGATCCACTCTCCATGGGTCCATATACTCCATAAAAAGTAATAAAAAGACAGCAAATTGTCTAAGGGACAATAATGAAACTCTTGCACCAACATTTATTAAGAAAATCGGTAAGTATTTCCATATTTCTAGTTTATTATCTTGCATCGATCACACGATTTCACCGTCTAAAACAAACTCATTCTTCTGAAACAACGAAAATCATATATTTATTATCATTTTCTTATTATTTTCATATTTCCATCATACTAACCTGTCAAGGGAATGACTCCTCTTCATTGGGCATCGGATCGAGGATTCACTGATCTAGTTTCTACTTTGGTCAAATATAATGCAAATATAAATGCCAAAGATGCTGAAGGACAAACACCTCTTCATTATGGTAGGACGTTGCTTGTTTATTTATTTAAACATAAACATTGGTATAAGGAGGCACCAACACACAAATCATTCGATTTGTATGAGGGCTAGAATACTGCCTGGGTGCCCAAACCGAGGTGAAAATTCTCCTCAAAACTCTCGGTTATGCTATGCTTTTTTATTATACATTTGACCAAGAAATTAATTTGATCAATAAGTATACATCCTGCACTATGAACAATGCTACTGACCAACCAGGGCTGAACATCAAAAGCCCTAATGAGTTAATAAAATACAAACAGATACTGCCTACTTGTAAGCACAGTTATTTAGCTGGATGATTAATACTATTTCGTATTGAAAACCAGGGAAATCCAGGATGTACTTTTCATTCTATTCAAAATCCATCAGTTAGATCTACTTTCATCTTCGTATTGATATCTTTTGTACCCAAAACGGAAAAATATAAACACTTATAGATAACAACAAATACCAGTGAAACAGTATTTTAGGGATGAACCAATCGGATTCAAGATAGGGATTTTTAGGTCATAACATACATGAAATAACAATACTAACTATAAACCCTTATTTATCTACTTTTAACTAGAATTTAATAGCTTAGTATTCGTAAGGCGTTGAACTAGTAAAAAAACCGTTTCATGTGATTTTTGCGAGGAACGGAATGTAAACTAAGTTTAGGGAGACACGGTGAAATAATGACTTTATATAATATTGTGCTGGTGGAAGTTATTGAGGAGAGATTTAATTCTGTTGACATACGTTCGGAGATTATGCTATCCTTAATAGGTACAGGCAGAATCATTGAACGGTTACCAGAAGAATGGTGTATAATAAGTGAAGTGTTAAAATACAGTGACCAAGTAGTAGTTCCTTACATTCACCCAAATAAGATCTCAGTGACGCTAGTCTGCATTTGTATACATTTTTATCTCATTTTTCCATTTGATTACCTTAAATCTCGTCTTTTGTATAATTGTTTAATAATATTTTCCTTTTAAATCTGAATATTCCTCTTTTCAATTATCGAATTAATTTGTTTATTTTGTATACTTACAGCTTGTTCTTGTGGTCATGATGAAGTTATACAAGTCTTATTAAAATCTAATGCTGATATCTATGCTAAAGACAATGAAGGAAATTGTACCTATGATCTGTATGATGGTGACTTTCATACATTATTTAACGATTACTTACATGGATCAACGTCCTAGTCTTAAGCTTGTGTGTGTATGTCTTTGTTACCATTTTGTTAATTTCATGATCACTTGATTTCAATAAATTTCATAGTCTGATCATCCACTTCATATGCTCACCAATATTGTATTACTTATCAATAATATGAAATAAAATGTGTAATTATTTTAAGTATAGTTATTTCGTATAACTGTTATGATATTTTGATTTTCATCTCTTTCTCAATTTATTAATTTTCTACTATTGAACGTTGTATCTACCCATAATTATACGATTTATGAGTACAATTCGGCCTCAATATCAAATTATATACGGTAATTTATGTTCGAAACAATATTTCTTAAATCATATTGTCTCTTCGTATTTAATCAATCAACTAGTCTAGAGTAATACCATGTTATACTGTTGCTGTGCAATACATCTATTGAAACCTGAAGAATCCTGCGTACAATAGACAAATAACTCATCAGGAAATAATTATACACTATATCGTCAAAGAAATAACTTGAAATAAACTATTTACGATTCTTTTTGGAAACTATAGTCATTATTGGTTCACGATTATTTTAACTTAACAATACTCATTAACCGATTGTCTGTAACTAGGATTTAATGAACTTGAAGATCTGTCAACTTAGACTTGGAGCTATTCAGTCGGTTTATTTTGTGAAGCGCTTTATCTGATAGGTGTTAAAAAAACAATCTGATTACTCACAGCATAACGACAAAGTTCGACTATATGAATGTATTACAAGCTGTCTATCATGATATAGTTTAGGTTTAAAAAACTAAGTTTCATTTTTAATAATCAAGGTACTATATTTGTTAAGTTCCAATGAGTAGAAGCTAGATTTCTAACGTTTCGTGACTTAGAGTAAACCACTTCTTCACAGAATAAAAATACGTGAACTGAATTAACACAAGTTCAAGAGACACAAAGCAAAATATTTTTAATACAATCGAAATTAAGATAGGTCTAATCATGCTAATATTTTTGTGTTCTCTAACAAGGTTATTTCCTATTGTGTAATACCTAGTTGCATGTAGTTGTATGTGTGGAAAATGATATTTGTGATGTGAAAGAGTGGGGTTAGGAATATTTGTTTATTTTTCAGTGGCGTGAGATGTGAACAAAATTAGTTGTGTAAATAGTTAATAATTGATCCACGTTGGATAAATCGTTAGGCCTTCCTTCCTCCTAAGCCCAGTAGGGTTTATCAAAACATGAAGGGCTTCAGCCACTCGCCCTTATAATTGGAAAATCCTTCATGAATAATTTTGGTGTTATTAATATTGGCTTGGTAGTTGTTAGAACTAGCATGTAGTGTTATTGCTGATTTGATTTGTAGGTTATCTAATTGCACATAATCATTTGGAGGTCTTTTTGTGTAGCCTGGATGTTCACGAGAAGACTCCCCAGCATAGAATGCATCACAGTCAGTTTACACATCCTAGTCTGTAGACAAAATTCTGTGTTGAAGTGACAGGGATCTCATCCTTGATTTGAACTAAAGCCTTTCGAAATCAGTATTTTATAGAAAGTTTTAATTTTGTGTGATCTAAGGATTCATTGTAGTCATTCTGTTTTTTCATGACGGTATAACAGAACTACAGTGCCAACCCATGATAATCCATTCGATTTATTATTGTTATTATTCATCAAAAGAACATTTCATCTTAGTATATTTTTGATAATATTCATGGGGAAGTTATCAAACAGTTGGATGTTTATATTTTTTATCACAATGTTTGACGCTCGTCTGAGTCAATTTAGAGACAAATGGATTTTTGCATTGAGTGGATGTACCGAGTTGAACTTTGTGTTAGATGGTTCGATTTAAACTTCTACTTGAATTTATTTTGACTAAACAGTATAAAATTGGTAGTTTCATTTGTTTTCAAAAAAAATTGTTTGACCGGAACAGAGACTTAGTACGAAATAATCAGCAACTACAATTTATCAGAATGGGTTTTGTGGAGAGTTCTAGAAATTTTCACAGATTGAAATCATGAGTCAGTTGAAGCTAGACCACCATGGAAAACCTGGAAGCACTGGACGGCCGTTTCGTCCTGGTATGGGGCTCCTCAGCAGTGCGCATCCACGATCCCGCACCACGCGGGGCTCGGACCCACGACCTACTGGTTTCGCGCGCGAGCACTTAACCACTAGACCACTGAGCCGGTATCCAACGGTGTTAATGTCTAACTTCAACCAATCCACGAAGTTGCGCCACCGTACACCATTGTCTTCAGTGAGTTGTTATCTCACAACAGACCGGTTGAACTCCACTGGTAACGGCTTCTCACTAGAACTCCAGGAGTTTTTCTTGAAGCCAGTCACTAATTAGCAGTTGATTATTATCAGAATGGGTTTTGTGGAGAGTTCTAGAAATTTTCACAGATTGAAATCATGAGTCAGGTTGTGGGTCTGAGCCCCGCGTGGTGCGGGATCGTGGATGCACACTGCTGAGGAGTCCCATACCAGGACGAAACGGCCTTCCAGTGCTTCCAGGTTTTCCATGGTGGTCTAGCTTCAACTGACTCATGATTTCAATCTGTGAAAACTACAATTTAACTTAAAAGGTGTATTGTCCAACCAATAAAGATCATTATAATGTACATAACTAAATATATATTACTGATATATTTCTTTATTTGATAAAAATTTGACTCTAATTAGAGTATAGATTTTTTAAAATTTAAACTCAACTCGTACGAATGTATGTTCCATTGTATAACGTGATAAGACGTAGTATCTATGAATAATAATTAAATAATTCAACTAGTTTAAGACTTTATAAAAAAAATAGTATTTTCATTTATAACTCTGTTCCCTCGTAAATCTAACATACAACATTCATTCCTATCTTTTTCATAAAGTCATTCAAAGATTGTAACAAGGAATAAAAATCGTAAAATAAGTTCATCGAATAATTTATTTACAAGTGGATAGCTAATATTAAATTATATTTACTATATGATAATCTATTGAAATGTCTCATTCTTGTCAAACCTTTTAGCTTGACGTAAAAAATATAATATAATTATTGGAAGTATTCGAATTAATGTATTAACTAAGAACTCCCGAAATACTCAAGTTTAAGGCAGGTAGGACTAAATGAACACAAACTCATCGCATTTTGTATTCGTATTCAGCGGGCAATGAAGTTCAGAATAATCATCAGTTAGTACAAATACCACAAAGAAGGGATTTTTCGTCTACACGATGTAGCCTACTAAAGCTGTACAATCGTATTTAACGTTATTTACTCAATGTTGACCTCACAAGCATAGTATATCTGAAGCCTTCCTTGTATGGGTATCGGAATGTAAATACGCGTCAGTTAAATGTTTCACGTTTTACTGTCTAATCAATTGTCTCTATTAAACCATTATTTAAACTTATCTACAAAGTTAAACTGGCTCAAAGATAATATGATTTATAAATTTACACAGCAGAATTGTTAGCAATTTAAACCTGGTCATTATGTTCAAAAGAGATATTCAGTTGTTTATTTTATGAATTATTACTAATCATCCAGTGAACAATTATCTTTCACATTTATTATTATTTTTATTTTTACTCTGCTAATATTACCTTTTCATCTTCTGTCCGTTATTTGAAATATTTGATAATAACCTAATACCTTATTCTGTTATAGATTAATATGTAGAAATTACTCTAAATAAGATCATACGTTTAAAAATTGAGGCCATCGAACAGAAATTCTCTCTGAACTATTTTTATTTAACTTATTAATATAATAATTACCAAAAAAGAGTGAATAATTAGACACTTAAACGCTTATTACTGTAAGATAAAAGGCGGTTATACATACTAATTACATCATTATAAGTTGGTTTTACATGAGTTATAAAATGCTTTATCGTGCTTAAAATATAATCCTGTTTTATGCTAATAATACGCCGTGGAGATAACGATATGTGAAAATGAGATAACATTAAGGGCCATATTTTACTAATGACCTAGTCACGATCGTGAATATGATTCTAAAATAAAATGTTTCGTTATGCTTACTAAACAGATAAAAAATAAACGTGGTAAATTATTTATAGATAGTGTACATATTCAAATATGATTGCAAATATGTGGTGTCAAAAATAGTCTTCCACTTGTTTGAACGAATCTTGCAATATACTCCGTCAAACATAAATTCTAATTTCAGAAATTTCTGTGGAAGATTAGATACACAGAATAGTAAGTTATGAATAAGGCAGTGTGAAGTATGCTATCGAAAGACTAGTACTTTTAAGTTGACTCGAAATCGGGCTATCAAAAGATGAATACTAAATAACTCTTTATTAGTAACAATATGCCATGGATTGAAATTGCTTGGATACATAAAAAGACATCAAGTAGATCTGGTACGGTAAAAGTCAAATCCTTTCAAAACCGCCCGCCGTTGCGTTTCAGCGACATTGAACGGCCCGAAAAGAGGCGGTCATTCAGTATTACAATTTCTGTTGGTTTGTTGGGTGTCCTTTGGGTTACACGAATATCAGGTGATCTCATTAGTTAAGTTATCTTTTGCTGCAGCAAAACCACAAAATCACTGTGAAAAACATTGATTTAGCTCTCCCTGTCTTGTGGTGCACACCTTGAATAGATTGTTGCTTCGTAACTTCCAAATCTCCCTATTTCGGGGAAAATTTTGTCCGGTTTGGATAATTTTTCGAGATAATTTCGGTCGAGAGCGTCCTGTTCTGTTTGCCTGGAAGCGAAAGAAATTGCAAGCAGATGCAACCCGGATGGTGGATAAATTGTGACATGCAGGTGTCACTGCCATCATATGCTACTGGCATACATAGGAAGACGAACTCTCGATCCATTAAGAAATGTAAACTGCAGAGTTCATCATATTCTTAGACATTGCAGTCGATGGAAGATAGATAACACTCACACCTTCAATATTAACAACACTTTCACAACCCAGACGAAACAAACAGTATGTACAGATTCAACGAAGCCGATTTTTCTTAATAATCATCAATAAGTAGGTAAGAATGTAGTTTCTCTAACGCTTGTCCTTGTGTAGTATTCTTTACGATAGAAAATATGGATCAAAATACAACAAAGCGTGGAGACATGACAGGAACTGTTTACTATAAGAATCTCTTTATAGTAGTATTGCGGTGTGTGCTACTTATATAGTCATAAGTAGTATATGATGTTAGTCGTGAACAGAATATCTGGCGACAAAGAGACAAGATGACCGAACAGTAAAGAATGGAAACAGAATGCAATTTGTATGAAAATACAGAAACAATCAATTCTGAGTCATTTTGAGACAATTTATGGACATTTAGCAAATTAAGCATTTACTATATGGTTGTTAGATTTTACTAACAAGTCCTGTAATTTCGAGTTCAGTTGCCCTCACACGTTCTGTTTACTACAGTATTTCTAACTTAACCATATATCCAACATGTAAACTGATTCCTTGCATCAGATGCTGCTCATCCTGTACCAGTAGTAATGCTGCGTCAATAAACTATTTCTCAGTTTTTATTTTCGTCTTCGCAGTTTCTTGGGGAGTTATACCGATAATCTTAACGGGTAACTGTTTGTGAAGATTAAAGACTACTAAGTGTTTGCTTTATAAGTACCCGTTTAGTTACGAAAACTTTTAGTACTGCATCAGTTTAGACGTTTCGATAAGATGTTGCGTTGTATATATAAGTTTCTTCATTATGACAGTATATATTTTTCAGCTTTATTCAATATTATATTTTCGGTACAATATAAAATTCTCAGCATAAAGTATCCCAGGCTCCCAACTTTTGGGAAAATTGAGTCCATTTTGTGGAAGCCGCTATAATAAATTTTGGGGAAATGAGAAAAAAAATCTAAAATTTCCCCAGACCTGGGGAACTTTGGGGAAATCCCCAAAGTGAACTTCAGTTATTGGGAATACAACTGACTGCTGAATTTTTGTAAGTAGTATAAAAGAATATACAAAAGAACAAAGAACTATGGTTACGTCTGTTAAAGCCTGCGAAGCCAGGTGAAAGGGAAACGAACACGATAGCTATATCATTTTGTGGAAGCTTCCCCAAACCTTTGGGTTTTCCTGGAAAACTGTTTTAACGCAAAAGCTTCACGAAAGCCTATCGACATCACGGAAGACCTAGGGAGAATGCTTACGTACATTTCTTACCGCGATGTTTTATTACTTTTCGTCAATCGCGCGTTGCTAATGAAACCTAATGTTAACCGATTTATCGCGATTATGAAATATATAAATGTTTGTTACAGTTGATAAAATTACAAATGAATCATTTGTACAAAGTTTTTCATTGCGTTGTAACAGCAACACCTTACGTAGACGTAGAACTGTCATTGATAATGTTCTAAAAAATAAATAAATAAATCATTTTTAGTGTATAATAACGTGTCAAGATATGTGAAAGGTTGATGATGTACCAACAGTATAACAATGTTCTTAATAATGCGAACAAAGAACTTACAGTTACGTCTGATAAAGCCAGCTGAAAGGGAAACATACAAGTGACAAGTTATATCACTTTGAGTATTGATCACAAAGTAATAAGCTGTTACAGTAATTAAAGTACAGTGATTATAGTGATAAATACAATGATAATTAACATCCTGTGAATTTTGGGGAAATCCCCAAAGTGAACTTCAGTTATTGGGAATACAGATGAATACTGAATTTTATTAAGTGGTATTAAACAATATACAAAAGAGTAGGAAGGGGAACGAGTAGGAACAATGTGTGACAAAGTTAATATATGTATTATAACAAACATATTAAGTAGTTTTAGCTCACCCTTTCTTTGGATCGCCATCCACGTTTATGTACTTTATCTCTTGCGTCATGCAAGAAGGCCTGGCTTGCTGTAGCCATGGCGTGTATTATTTCCTGTTCCGGGCAGCTTGCACTTCGGAAATGTGAACACAAAGCACCTACAAATATGTTAATACAGTAAAGTGGACTTACTTTGAACCGTCGAGTAAAATTTGTACTTATTAATATCAAATTTACTTCTGGTTCCGTGCAAGGTGTACGTGTTTGCCAGTTCCGGAGAAAGGAGGTATTTCAGACAGGCTTTTGCTGATTTCCGAAGATCATCACATTGTAGATGGTATAATCTTCCCATCTATAATTTCTTCAAACACCGGTTACAACTTACGAAATGATCCAGGAATTTTTTGTTCTCTAAAGCTGTCTCTAAAGAACGCAACTCGTCATGCGTTCGTAATGGGAAAGTGACTGCATCACTATCCGTATCTTCCATACGTCTTTCACTTACACCCATGGCTAAGCGTTCGCATACAGCGATCAGTCTGTCCATCTTGCTAGATAGTTCAGTTACCGCTTTTAGGATATTTCTGAACATGTGATGTATATCACCGCTCAAACTTTTGTTATCAGGAATAAAGTAAATGCAACTTACGGTTTATCACCTTCAGTCGACGTATGTACGAAAACACTACTAACTAGTGGAGCTACTATGCGACCTAGGATCGGCCACAGCTGTTGGTTAGAGCTTTTGAACAAACTTAGACCATCGTAGTTTAACTGCAACTGCAATTCGTTGAAACGGATTCGCCGAAGCCAATGTTCTGAAATTCTCAAAAGACTGGATTTCAATCCTAAATGGTAATACGTTCCAGAATCTAGGATCTTAGGCTCCACGTCGTTGCATCGACGTAGAACACTTCGGACGGACGTTGGAAGTTCTGGATACCGCGCACGAAAAATGTCCAATATTTGATCAGCCTTTTGCGCGCTATTTAAAAAGGACAGTGGTATTTTTCCTCGCTGAGTAAATTTCATTGTTTTGATCGTTTATTACGTATCAAGACTACTGTTTTTCACATTAATTGAATTTATTTCAGTTAAAGTATTCGACTAAAGTATCGTTTTTACTGTTTTGTCGTTGGTACTCTTTAGTACCACTTTTTCAACTGTATCTGTTAGTACTTTTGGTCCTAGCAATCTACAGCTCTTCACTTTTTTTGGTCATTGATAATTTTTTTGTTTCTGGGTATCATCGCATATTGAAAAAACCCCTCCTAAATGACCGGACAGTGTAAAAAAAGCAGTTGCCAACGTCCGGGTTGTCGTTATCCTGTTGAAAGCGGCATGCAGTGCGACGAGTGCAAAGGCTGGTACCACGAAGTTTGCACGAACTTAACGCCTGCTGCTTTCAAACGGTTCAGTAAGAAGGGTTGTGTGTGGCTTTGTCAACAGTGCTGCTCGGATGCAAACAGCTTGTTAACCGAGGCTATCTCACTGGTTGATGCTGCCAAGAAGTGTTTCAACAAGCATAGTCGGAACGCGTCAAACAGCACTCGATCTGTTGACACGCAAATCAATGTGAAGGAAACTAAGGTGAGTCCGGTGATAGATGACTCACGCCCGTCGAAGAAGGAAAAGCAGTCTCCAAAGGGGCCTACCTTAAAAAAAAGCTCAAGAAAAGTAGGGTCTTCTGTTCCCCGTCTCCCAGATGGGATCCAACAGGAAACATCTAGGAGCCGCAATCGCAAGGCTCGATCGGTTTCAAATGGTAAACATAACACGACCCCTCAGGTCGTCGACAACCCCCCAAAACCCAACACTAGTTTTGACGCAACTGCTATTGCTTCTACCAGCAGCGTTAACGAATGGGTAAAGGTTGTAAGGAAGAAAAGTATTGATATAAAAGGGAAACCTGCCCCCGTAAAAGTGGTTGAAAAATCGAAAGCTGATCATAGCGACAGATCAGCTATTTTTCATAGAATTAAGGAGAGCGATAGCTCTGAACCTAAAGCTCGTTTTGAGCATGACATTGTACTGATTAGACAGCTGCTTAATCAACTCATGCCTCAAAATATGACTGGGGTCACCTTGCTAAAGGTGTATAGACTAGGGAGTCTAACGGACCCGAAACCAAATCATTCCAGACTGCTTAAAGTAGTATTCGGCTCTTCAAACGAACGTGACATAATTTTACAAAATGGACACAAATTAAAGGGTTCGGGAGTCTTTATCCGAAAGGACCTACCGTTGGCAGACCGTGTTAAAAGACGGGAAGCCGAGAAAGAACTACAACATAGGTTAGACGCTGGCGAAAAGGACCTGAAAATTGTAAATTTTCGGGTTGTAAGACTTTGACAGAGAATGATGCCGAAGCCACTCTGGGTGAAGCACGAAGGCACCTAAACAGGCTTCGGATCTGTTACACCAATGCACGAAGCTTACTTAATAAGCGATCGGAACTAGGTTTACAGATTGACTCTATAAAGCCAGATATAATCGCAGTAACAGAAACCTGGCTGACACAGGCTATAGATAGTATAGAACTTGATTTCGAGGGCTTTACGTTAGTAAGAGCCGACAGAACACAAAAGCGCAAAGGAGGGGGAGTAGCTCTATTCATTAGGAATGCTATCCCGTTTACTATTATCGATAGTGTATCCCATGAGAGTGGGACGTGTGAATTAGTTAGTCTTCGCTTAAAATGCAAGGGACAAGAGCTGCTGATTGGTTTGGTCTATCGCAGTCCAAGCTGTGAGGCAAATGAGATCCTGTTAAGCAGTCTCAATACTTGGTCCCAAAGTGGTCGATGTCTAATCCTAGGGGACTTTAATGCACCAATGGTAGACTGGGAAAATCTGCGAACTGAATCGTCAGAAAATTCCTTCGAGCAGGAACTAGTTGATGCGGTTATCACATGTGCCCTAGTGCAACATGTGAAAGAAACGACTAGGTACGACCCGGACACTGAATCATCCTTATTAGATCTTATACTGACTCACTATGAGGATGATGTTGCGAACCTCCACCATATGCCACCCTTAGGTAAAAGTGACCACGCAGTCTTAACTTTCGACTTCCATATAACTGCCAGTCATGAGGACGCGTCAGTCCAGTCCAGACCCAACGTCTGGAAAGCAAACATACCAGACATCATGCACTCAGCATCGTTAATAGATTGGACAATAGACCCAGAGTCCTCCATTGAAACGGCCTGGGACACATTTCGAAAATCATACTTAAAAGTTACCACACCTCACATCCCTTGGACTATACCAAAGGGGCCGAAAAACTCACCACCATGGTTCAGTAGGGAGGTCCGTATCCTTCTCCGTAAGAAGAGGAAAACGTGGGATAGATTTAGGTTACTGGGGACTGATGAGTCAAAATCTCAGTATCGAAAGGCTCGGAACACTTGTGCCTCGACCCTCCGTAAGTCTAGAAAATTGTACGAAGAAAAACTTGTTAAGGAATCCATAGAATGTCCTAAACGCTTGTATTCCTATATAAACCAAAGGACAAAGAGAAGAGGAAATATTCCTGCTCTATGGGGAGACAGTACTGCTTCATCATTAGTGGAGGACGACTTTGGTAAGGCTCAAGCGTTCTCGAACTACTTTAGCAACGTGTATACCATAGAAGCGCCCTTCTCGTCAGCGTATACAGATCCCCCCATACATACACTGGATAGCGTGACCATTAAAGAACTCGATGTCTTTGATCTGCTAAATAAGCTTGACACAGGTAAATCCACGGGGCCCGATGAATTACATCCTAGGCTACTGAAGGAATTATCTAACTTCGTTGCGAACCCTTTAAGTACATGCTTTAACCTAGCCGTTACGCAGGGTCGCTTACCGAAAGATTGGAAAAACGCCATAGTAAGTCCTGTCTTCAAAACAGGCACGAAACACAAACCTGAGAACTACCGCCCCGTTAGCCTAACTAGTGTGGTTGTTAAAATATTAGAAAAGATTATTCGGAAGGAGCTGTTTAAGTATCTCGATAAAAACCGGATCCTCTCGGAGAAGCAGCATGGCTTCAGAATAGGTTATTCTTGTCTCACTAACTTATTAGTGGCTCGTGAAAGCTGGTGTGCTCTTAAGGACCAAAAGCTACCTGTAGACGTCACCTTCATTGATTTCAGTAAAGCCTTTGATAAAGTTCCGCACAACCGGCTGTTATATAAGTTAAGACATGTCGGGATTGGAGGTAATTTATTGATGTGGATAAAAGACTTCTTAGTTGGGCGTCAACAAAGAGTAAGGGTGAACTCAAAGTTATCTAGCTGGGAAACTGTGCTTAGTGGAGTGCCCCAGGGTACAGTTTTGGGGCCAGTGCTATTCCTCTTGTATGTAAATGACCTTCCTTGTCTCCTATCATCATCGGTCTTGCTATATGCTGACGATGTCAAGATATGGAGAACGATACGATGTAAGAGTGATAGCTTAGAACTTCAAAATGACCTGAAGAAGTTATCTGAATGGTCTCAAACATGGCAGTTGCCGATAAATACTTCCAAGTGTGTTGTGATGCATATCGGTCATCAAGGCACAGATACATACACGATGAATAACACTGAGCTACCTGTCGTCCAGACATATAATGACTTAGGAGTTATCGTTAGTCAAGACTTAAAAACTACTGCACACTGCCGTGCAATAGCCGCCAAAGCGTTTAGAACCTTATGGTCAATACGTAGGGCTTTTAGTCATGTCGACACTAAGACGTTTTTGACTTTGTATACAGTGTTCGTTCGTCCTAAACTTGAGTACTGCATACAAGCGGCTAGCCCCTGCTTTAAAAAAGACAGAGAGCTCCTGGAAAAGGTTCAGAGAATGGCGACTAAGCTGGTTCCCGCAATAGCGAAGCTTCCGTATGAATCTCGACTGACCAAGCTGAACCTTTTCCCGTTGTCATATCGCAGAACTAGAGGCGACTTGATTACAGTCTACAAATTGCTTAGTGATAAATTTGCACCTAACATGCCCTCATTTTTCTTGTCTTCCAAAACAGAGAATTTACGAGGACACTCCAAAAAAGTTCATAAGCCGAGAACAAATTACTTGTCAGCTGACCATCGACTTTCCCATCGAATCATCAACGAGTGGAATTCACTACCTCAGCACGTGGTTGAGGCTCCATCCGTCGACTCTTTCAAAAGAAAGTTGGATCAACTGAGAGACCACCATTGCCAGGACTAACATAGGCCATCGAGCCTCCTGTCCTTCCCAAACTGAAAACTTCTTTATGTTTAAATAACCACCTTTCATCATTTCAATGATCATTTTGTCTAACTCGTCTTTCACCGAAAGATGAATGGCTGGGGACATTTCTGAAATCAGACAACCTATAAAATTTTAATAATTAAACAGATACTACCGTTGATTGTGTTGTCTGAACACTGGACGTGACTACATGAAGCAGTAGCTGTATCTGTGACAATATTAGCCCACTGCTCTGTAGCTACGGTAGTACGCGATTCTGTGACGACAACTGGATTGTCTGTCTCTTTGTCACAGCTCGGTAACTGACACTTCTTTATAAACTGTGCTTTTATTTTCCTCAACCTTCTGTAATAGGTTGATCGGGAACAGCCAAACAACCTAGGGTATTTCGTGTCTGCTGCCCCCCTTTTCGCAATCTTATCGAGCTGTCTACTATTATTCTGAAAGAAATAATTCACTTAAGTAAAACTGAACATAGACAGCAACAAAATTTTCCGACCTGCACTGCTAACAACTCACCTGCATAGCTTTCAAATCTTGAAAAATGCTTTAAAACCGACAACTCTTTGTCTACTGTCTGATTGTTGATGTATTAAATGGTTCAAATGGTTGTGGACGGAATAGAAGAAGCTTTCGCTTAACAGGCTTCCGTGTCTAGTAGCAGGGGATCACGAAATCCTCCAGGCAGGAACCTAGGTATGTTAACAATAAAAGAGGAAAAGAAATTGGTAAATCATAGTGTGATGCTGTCCTTGGTTCTTAAGAATAGGTCAAGTTGCCTCTTGAAGGACTCCTGAGAAGTCGCTTGGACTAGCTCGGCCAGCAGCGAGTTCCAGCTTTTGACAACTCTTAAGGAGTAGAAGTTGTGTCTACATTCCGTCTTGCTATGTTGTGTTTCCAGTTTCTGGGTGTTACCCCTTAGGTTATTATTCGAACTAAGCTTAAGTAGGTGTTTAAGAGGATGTCCAGAAGTGTTAAGAATGCTATAAGCCATTAGTAAATCACCTCTAAGACGCCTATATTCTAGTGGGTAAAGGTCTAGTGAACGGAGGCGTTCTACGTAAGGCTTAGATTTGAGTCCTCGAACTGATTTCGTGGCTCGCCGTTGGATACGCTCCAAAGTGACTTTGTCCTTATGGAGTGA